AGTAACCTCTCTTCCCCTCAGCTCCATATGACCTTCACAGCCCTGGTCATAATTTGTAAAGCCATATGTTTCCCTTTCTAAAGTGTGGCTTCCTCCAGATGGGAGAGGAGACCCTTACGGCATACCTAGGTAGCACATTGCCTAGCACAAAGAACACCCTGGGGCAGTGTAGTATACAAACGATGATGATATAATTAGGATGACCACACAATTTTTTATCCAAACTGGGATAATTTTGATAGGATTATCAAATGGGATTGGATTAGGATAGGATTGGAATAGGATAGGATAGGATTACATAGGATGATAGTAATAATAGTGTCAGGACAAGAGATGTAAACAGGACTGCCCCAGACAAACTGGAAGTATCACCCAGATAACAGTGGTCAATTTTGATTGAGCTCTGTCAGTGACTGTCCTATATTGCTGTCTATGTGTCATTTCTTTGACCTTCCCAGTGACCTAGTATGGGAGCAATAGTTATTATCTACACTTCACAAACAAAGACACTATGGCAGACATGGAAGGGAGCTTACCCAATGCATCACAATTAGGGGAGTGGATGGGAAAGTTGGAACCAGAATGCAAGTCCTTCGAATCCAGAGCTCTTGTTCTGGGACATTAAACACTTTTGCCTCCCAGTGGAAGATCTCCAGTCTTGGAATAGGACATGATGAGATTCTATTCCCAGCTCAGCTTGCTATAATTTTGGTTACCTCTCTGGTCTTGGTTTCTTCATTTCTGGAATGATGACAATGCCTATTTCCAGTAGTCTTCCCTGGAAGACTAAGGGGAATAAGGTCTCAGAAGATCAGGCATCGTGTGAGTGTTTATGATGTACTTGTCTTAGAGGTAAGATAGCTGCCAATTTATTATAGGCTCCATAAGGCATCTACACAAATAGCTGTGACACAAAGCAAAAAGTGGCAGGTGCCATAACAGAGTATGGTATAAGGTCAACCAAGGCCGAAGAGCCTAATGGTTAAAAGCATGAGATTTTTCATAACACCCGGGTTCAAATTCAGGCTGTTAGATTTGACCGTGTCAGATTTGAATAGACATTTCTCCAAATAAGATTTGCAAAAGGACAATAAGCACAAGAAAAGACGCTCAACGTCGTTAATCCTGAGGAGAATGCCAAACAAAACTGCGATATCACTAAACAACCCACAAGGATAGCTAAAGCAAAAAAGACAAATATTGGCAAGACTATCCCATAGAGAAACTGAAACCCTCATGCTTTGCAGGAGGGATTGTAAACTTGGTATAACCACTTTGGAAAAAAACACTTCGATAGTTTCCTAAAACTTTGTAAACATAGAGTTACCCTATGACCCAGTATTATACCTAGGAGAGAAATGGTATAATACTAAGAGAGGATTGAAGACCATGCCCAGACAGTAACTGATACACCAGTGTCTTAACAGCATTGTTCCTAATAGCCCCCAAATAGAAACAACCTAAATGTCCATCAGCTGATGCAGTATCTTGATACCAAACAAAACAAAAAACAAAACAAAAAACACATGAAGTACAGGCACAGGCTGTAATATGGAATAACCTTGAAAATGTGATGATAAGAGAAAGAAACTGGTTGCAAAGGACCACACATTGTATGCTACCATCTATTTGTTCTGGAAATGTAGTTTGTTTCTAGAATAGTCAAGTCCATATAGACAGAAAATGCATTAGTGGTTGTCGAGGTTGCCTACTTGAAAAGATTGAATTGAATGGTATGGGAATTATATCTCAATAAAGCTGTTCTTTAAAAAAATTCAGACTCTGCTCTTGGTATTGGTCATTATCTTCTGTAATATAGGGCAGGTGACAGAGTGTAACATAAAGAGCAAGTGTGAGGGTGAAATGAGAGATTGTGTGTAAAATCTTGGCACAGCAGCTGGTATAGTAATTGGTCAATAATTGATAGTGATGATGTTGATGATGTTCCTTAAACATGGGTCCTTTCTTCTGTCCATCCCGACGCCTACTGTCGGTGGTGCTTTCAGCAAAATGGGCTGCGGATTCATGATGACCTAGGATGCCTGAAGACTGACCCTTTCCCTAGCCCTCTCAAATCGTATGTGCCTCTGATGGAATAGCCTTCTGGCTCTGATATCTGTTATTTATTTCTTAACTAATATAACTGAGACCTTGCTCAAGATGTGCTCATGAAAAATTACCCTTTTAATGGTGGAGAATTTAATGAGAAACTGGATTATCTACTGCATAAGTGCCCTTCATACAAATTAGCTTGGCCCTGGGTCCTAATCTAAATTGGGCTCCCTATTTTCCTCTAAATGGCCTAATATTTTCTTATTAATCTCTGCCCTTGTTCACCTGATCTGGCTCTGCCTCCTTATGAAGCATCCTCCTTGGTAGAGCTCTGTGCTTTAACAAATTCTTCTTAAGGCTGTCTTTGTATCTGGCTCATGGACAATTTGGGGGACAGTGACGTGGAGGCTGGAAGCTATGTGTTCCATCTTCAAGCTGTCTCTCCAGTGGAATTTTAATGCTGCCAGTGTATTGGGTGTCAACAGATTTGGGCCAGGTGAATTTTGGTACAACGTAAAGATGGGGAAGTGAGGTCTAATGAGAAGCAACTAATCACAGTGATTAAGAGAACAGGCTTAAAAACACAGAACCCAAGCAAACCCATACACCTGAGCTTTGGCATCAGCCATGTCTGGGTTCAGGTCCCCCTGAGTAAGTTTGGACAAGTACTTGGCCTCTTAGATGTTTAATTTAGATTCTCATTTATAAAACCTGGATAACAGTACCTACCTCTAGGATTACTTCTGAGGTTAAACAAGTTGGTGTATACAACATGCATTGTACAGAACATGGTAAGTGCTACCTGGTATGGTTATTATAAGCAAAGCTTGGAGAAGTTCCTAATAGTGCACGGGATTTGATTAGTGACTGAAATAGTGTCATAGGTTGAAAAGGCTGAGATGGTATTTGTGGTGGAGTAAGATAACCTTCCCAAGAAATAGAGTAAGCCATAGGCCACTCCTCTCCAACATTCCATGGTAATGCAGGGAGAGCTGACTTGTAGTCCCAGCCCTGTTGTTTGGATAGATGTCTGTACAGGGTTTATCATGGCAAATGTCCCCTTTGTTCTTAGCTTTTTAATCTTTGACATCTGCCCTCACAGAACCCTGAGGCTTAATTTTTACATCGATTATAGGTTCTGACTAATCATCCATATGTTATATCTGCTTTGTGGAATATAATTCAAAGGCTTCACTATACGAGGAGTCAGCAAGTGTACAGTGAGAAAAAGCATCAGCTGGAAATTAGGGGTCTGGCTCTGCAGACATTTCTTTGTGCCCTCCTTCCTTCGGCATTCTATCTTCTATTCTTTCACTAGGCTGGTAATAGTGGCAGCAGCTGCCATTTTCTGAGCATTTACTATGTGAATTCATGCTCCGCACATACTATCTCCTATAAGTTACTATTCACAATGAATCTGAAGGTGGATATTTTATCCACATTAGTCAGATGAGGAAACCGAGGCTGAGCAGACAGTTTAGTTGGCTTTCAAGTGAGAAAGCCATGATCTGAATGAAGATGTCCAACTAAAGCCTGGTACCTTCTTACACAACCAGCACAGTGCGCATTTACGCATTTTTATTTTCGGTCGCCAAAATCTTGAGCTTATAGGGCCCCAAACTTAGTCTCATACATCTGTTGCAGTGAGTTATAGCGTCTGGCACAGAGGAGATGCTCAGTAAGGGATGATTGAATAGATGAATGAAATGCAAGTTGTGTTTTTTTTTTCAGTAGAAAAGCACTATGCAGTGATTAATCATTGCTGGGTTTTTTTCCCTCTATTTTCAGCTGAGATAATTCTCAACTCCACATTATGAAAGGCCTTAGTTTGCAGATCATATAGATAGAGGGAAGTAGTTAGCTCTAATGTGCTCAGCTCAAAGTTTCTGACCAACGATGGAAGGCTTGATGGAGGAGATATTGGAAGTTGAAGTTCATGATGTTCCAGGAGCTGAATATTGGAAGATCAGGATGCTCCAGGTTTTAAGAACCACATGTGCAATGCCTCGTCCTGTGACAAGTTATATGAAAGCTTGATGATATTAGAAATTTTAATTACTGTGTATTCATCTTTTTTTTTTTCTGATTGTGTGAACTTGCACAAGCTCCTTGAATTTTTATGACCTTCATCTTCATTGTCTAGAAAATGGATATGGTTGAGTTTTTATGAAGAGTGGGAATAAAGTTTATAAAACATCTCCAGTGAAACACTCAGTTAACAGTAACTTTACTGTCCTTTTTTATATGGATGTATTTGAACTTCTGGTTGACATATCTTAGCAAAATATTATGTTAATAATTGTTGAGAAAGGCTGTTGCGGAATATGGGCACACCATACCATGTAGCCTATTTCTACACACACATGAGTTAGCAGAAGAGATATTGTAAAACCATTTCTTTGATAATTGTCCCCGGGTCATTAGTTGATACAAAGCAATTACTATGGAGTCTCACTATAAAACAGCCCATGGAATTGGGTGTAAGAGGATCTTGGACCCCGGCCAAAGTCATATTAAATGCTGGAAATGCCAAAGAGGCTCAGTGCTAATACTATTGTAACCAGAATGTCAGACATGAACTCGATGGGTGATTATTATTTGTTGAATACCTAGTATGCATCAAACTCTGTATTGGGTGCTTTACACGTGTTGTCTGATTTAATTATCTTCATGCCCCATTGGGGTTGGTTATTTTTAACTCTGTTTTATTTTATTTTTCTCTTGCCTGAGAAAACAGGCTCAGAGAGAAGTAATTTGCCTCTGGATTTAAAATGATAGAGCCAGACCTTGCATCCAGGAGAACTACCATTCTTGTCTACTTAGTCCAGTGATTTGACTTTCTCAGAACATGAAGTGAAACCAGAGACCAAATCTTGGCCCTGTGGATATTTAAAGACGATGGGACCTGAGTACTTACCTGCCTGAACCATGCTTTTCTCTGTTCTCAGGTCAGGATCGCAGTGAAGCCACTTTGATAAAGAGGTTTAAAGGTGAAGGGGTCCGGTACAAGGCCAAACTGATCGGGATTGATGAGGTTTCTGCAGCTCGGGGAGACAAGTTATGTCAAGATTCCATGATGAAACTCAAGGTACCGTGCAAACAGTTTACTTTCAATATTATGGGTTTAATAGGACTGAAGGAAGGAGGTGATTATGATCATTATGGTAAAACTTTTAACTTACTCGTTTATTAGTAAACTACTTGGTTCACTGATGAAGCACTGCATGTATTCATTGGGAAGAGAGTTCAGTCATTATGGGGTGACTACTGGGGATTCTTTGCTGCGCCCAGTTCTGTAATTTCTCCCATCCAAGTAGTAACCAGGCCTGACCCTGCTTAGCTTCCGAGATCAGACGAGATGTAATTTCTGAGCATATCACATTTTATTCTATTTTATTTTCATCATGCAATGCCTGCAAAAATAAAAGTTAAACTGTGAAATTTTATAGTCCCTCAGATTTTAGGACTCTTTACCCCTTTGTTATTTTTGAATACATTTTAAATATTTTACCGTATGATAAATAGGGAAAAGATGTTCTGTTAAGGTAAAAGCTAATTTTATTCATTCTATTAATGTTTCCAAACACTTCATAAAAGGAATACATTCTTTAAAGTAATACATAATAAGATTTGGAGATTTGGAGATTTGGAGAGAGGTTTCTGACTGTAAATGTTTAAAAAAGGCTTTTTTATTGTGAAACTTAAGGAAGAAATTGGGAAGAGAAAGACACAAAATAAGAATACTGTGTTATTCAATGGCTTTTAAAACATGAAAAAGGGCATTTTTTGTTCCTGTGTTCTGACCTTCATACAGTCTTTATTTCATTTTTTTTCAAAAGTGATTTATAATATTAGAAAAACAAATGACTTAGCAGGAAGTCCGCAAAAATACTTTATGCATCTAATACACATAAGTTAAGTATTTTCCTGATTGTAGAATTCACAAAATGTTCAGTCTAAGGTATTTTGAAAATACAGAAAAGTATAAAGAGAAGAATTGAATTTGTCTATAATAATTCTACCACACAAGGAAAATCAGTGTGTAACTTACAATGTCTTTGTATTCGTATGTATATTATATAAATTATAAACATATGTAATACAATTGGAATGACTATTTATATAGTCTTACATTTTTTTCCCTCATCTAATAACACATTATGAGAATTTTTAAATATCTTCAAATAGTTCCTCAGGACATAACTAGATCAATATATATATTTTTTAATGTAAGAAAGAAGGAAGAAAATACAAGTTTGGCCAAGTGCCTCAAAGTACAAAGGAGGACAGTATCTGTAAAACACCCCCTTCATTGCCTTTTCTTTCCTATTTGCTTAACATATCACAGCTATTATTTTTATTTACGCTATACAATTTTTCTCCCCACTTTAACATGTGTTACAGATGCTAGGTATCCCTGTAGTATGGCTGTAGGAGTCATCATTTTTAAAAATCTTAATTTTCTAAACAATGTACCAATGATTTTTTTAGCTGTTACATAAGCAAGCTTTATTTTATTTATTTTTAATTTTTTTTTATAGTTTTTTTTTATTTTTGAGACAGAGAGAGACAGAGCATGAGCGGTGGAGGGGCAGAGAGAGAGAGGGAGGCATAGAATCTGAAACAGGCTCCAGGCTCTGAGCTGTCAGAACAGAACCTGATGCAGGGCTCGAACCCATGAACTGCAAGATCATGACCTGAGCTGAAGTTGGACACTTAACCAACTGAGCCACCCAGGCGCCCCAAGCTTTATTTTAATAATTATTTATCTATCATAAGGTATACTAGAAAAAGTTACCAAAATCATGATTTCACTGATTATCACCTTGGAAAATGTTAATGTGTTCTTTATGTTCTCTTTTCTTTTCTAATTAAGCATTGTTATGAGATTTTAGGGCAGTCCAGTAATGAGTTCTCTTCTTTTGTTTAGGTTAAATCTGATTGATAAGTAGATAAAGGAGTCTTACAGGAGGGAGCCCCTGGGTGGCTCAGTGGGTTGAGCATCTGACTCTTGATTGCTGCTCAGGTCATGGTCTCCGGGTTCATGGGATCGAGCTCCACACGGAGCCCCGTGCTGTCAATGTGGAGCCTGCTTGAGATTCTTTCTTAACCTCTCTCTTTACCACTTCCCTTTAAAATAAATAAATAAAATTTTTTAAAAAGGCAGGCTGACGGGAGGAATTCTAAATTCCAGTCTTTTAAGTGATAAATGCCTGGCATGGAGGATGTGATGGGGATTCATGGCTACAGTGGACTTCCTTGAAAGAGACAGACTGTTCCGCTTAGCTTGTGTATTTGGATGCCTGTGGCCCTTCCTATTCCCTCCAAGCCCCGTGCTGCACTAGAGCAGGATGTGAGACCCACGCGTGCAATCAGACCAGAGTGCCGCCCCTCTACCAGGGGCAGATTGCAGAGAGAGCCCAGAAATGACTGAGCCCGGAGTCCTCAGCTTCTCTCCAAACACGTCTGATAGAGCCCTGCCTTCCTCCCTAGGGAGACCCTAGTCAACAATAGGGACGAAGGCCAGGATCTTGATTTTTGCTGAAGTGCCCCCCCGCCCCCCGACTTACTGACAAATGGAGATCTGCACCTGGCAAATATTAATTAAAGGACATCAGAAAAGTCTCTAGTGACCTGGTTCTCACGCAGAGCCACAAGTAAGTCTGCTAAGTTGCTGATGCTGCTCCTCCTGGCTTCCTGGTAGCTCGCTGTTCACCAGGCGTCAGTCACAGAGCGCCTCGTTGGCCAGCTGCCTTCGTGGGGACACGGGAGGCCTAAGCAGCTTTGAGCAGGAGTCTGCCTGCGCTGCCTGAAGGTTCGCTGTGAGGAGTAATGTTGGGCCAAGCTAACCGGACCAGGCCTGCTGATGACTGCTGACCTTGTGCGTATGTGTGAGTTACCTACAGTGGAAGTGCCCCATCTGTCACCCCTTATAACCGCAAGGTCCCCAAAGCCCTGAGAATTTGTCCTGGCCATAACAGGCTCCTGAACTTGTTGAGGGATTCTTGGTTCCCAGACCATTGTGTTTCATTATTTGCAAGTTGCCAAGAAGAATGTTGACATTTCAGCTCCCAGTGGTTTTTCTTTAAGAAACAGAAATATAAATGATCGATTCTCCATTTGGCCACCTGCCCAGGAAAAAAGAGGCAGAGAAGTACGAAATGCCTGTTAGTCTTGCGAAAGGCCCACTTGTTCACGTTAGGGCATATGAGGGAAAAAAAATCTATTTTCCTTTGCTAGACTCTTTGAGGCTGATACCTTTTTCCTGTTTTAGGGAGTTTTCTCTTGGACTATAAAGATTTTAGGGGGAATTCATGTTTTGAATATGAGTGGGCCATCACTGGTCTTCCAGCAAAACACTACCATCATCCTGTTTTAATTTAGAGTCAACAAAAGCATTTCCCCATATATTCTCTCTTTTGATTTTGTGAGGTAGATATTAGCCTCCTTGTTTTATACATAAGAAATCCGGGGTTCATAGAAGTTAAAGGATTTGCCCCAGAACCTTCATTTAACCTGTGTTAAGTCCAGAATTCAAACCTAGATCTCTGGATGCCCAGTATTTGATAAGACACAGTTTAGTGCTAATTATATTTTGTTTTGTGTCTGCATTTAATTTACCTTGGTTCCTCAATGAGATTTAAAGCCCAGACCAGTAAGTTACTACCCAGTACCCACACATCATCGACGTACAAAGTAGTCAACTTTCAGAGACGTTGGGCAAAACAATGGTGGTTGAAACTCTAGAAGGAAATGCAGTCTCCCAGAAGCTCTGTCTAGATGGCTAATTACAGAGCTTTAAACAAGTCAGTTGGGGTCCTATAAGAAGCAGAGCCCACCCTGGCTAGGTCAGACGCAGACACGTTAGTGCAAGAGCTACTTACAAAGGGTAGGTAAGGTTAAGTAAGATAACAAGGGATGGTGAAGCTCCCAGAAACCTGGCACAGTGCAAAGCTCTCTCCATACTAGGAAGAAATATATATACCAAAGCCCAGGGAGAGCAGGATTGAGGAGGAAATCCCTTCCCTCACCAAGCAAAAATATAGTCATTGCCAGAGATGTAGTACAAAGAAGGAAAGGATGTGGGATGGAATACCTGGCCTCTCTCTCCATCCAAACTCTGATCCTCTGCCTGTCTTGCATTGGTGGAACCTGGCTGGAAGCCAGAATTTCCTGAAGCCCAGAGGACCAGGGAACGCAGTCCATAGGAGCCAGTTCACTGGGCATAGAGCAGAATAGAGACAGATATTTAAATTAGTTTTTCTTTTACCTCCGCTGGGAAAAGTGAGACTTAAGGTGATTGTTTGCAGGGTTTGTATAGCTGATAACTGGGAAGGCTGAGATTGGAGACCAGCTTCTTTAAATCACGGAATGTTCTGAAATAGCATTGTAGGTTTTAAACCATTCATGCCTAAAGTCTGTTGTGTTTTCCTACTGCTTTCCAGGATGCATTGAGATCACAGCCATTCCTTACGTGCATGCACCATGCTGGGTGAGGTCTCTCAGAGCCCTTGCCTGTGCTTCACCTTATCTGAGCCTCACAGCAACCCCAGGGCTGGACAGAGCAGCCAGTTAATCCTGCCTGACATGCCTGACCCTTTGTGTGTCAGTTCCTTCATGGAGATGCTACCTGTGTGTGACTCCCTTAGGGATGCCAGTGTCCGTCACTTCACACAGTGCCTAGCCCATGATACTACTTCAATATATCATCCTTAGTGCCAGTAATAATTATAACTGTTATTTACCGAGCTCACCCTATGTGCAGCACACTGTGCTAAGTGCTGTTATGTGCATAATTATCTTTCAATATCTTAATACCCTCATGAGGTAGGAAATGTGATTATTTTCATTTAAAGTTCCTCTTCACTATTGAGTCTGGAAGCAAGCACCTGGCTGCTTGCACAACACTTTTGAACTATCTGTACTTCATTGTGTAGTCTTTTTTTTACCACCTATGTTTTCCCAAAAGAGCTCTTTAAAAAGATTATCAACAGGAGTCCCAACATTGGACTCTGAAAGATCACTGTTTGAATTTTCTCTGTCTTATTAGTTCCTTGAGGTTTAGGGAAATCACTTGAAGCCTTGGCCTTGTGTTTCCTTATATGTAAAACCAAAGAGATACGTTTTACTTCCCAGGATTATGGTATGGGCTAAGTGAGATGATATGTAGGAGAATTAGTAGCACATATAGTAGGTTCCCAAGAAAATGCTTGACTATATTTTCCAGATTCCCAACAGTGACTTATTAAGTCAGGTGGCTAATGGGAGGCACAGAGCCCCAAATGACACCTTGCATCTACATCTTCTAACTCCCCAGTCCGAGCTGTCTCTCAGAGCTCTGCTAGTTCTGCGTACCATCAATGAATAATCATGTGGGGAGATGAGACCCTCAGGTGTGCACTCTGGTGACAAGCTTGCTTGGACTTAGTGCAGTGTTTTAGAGCTTGACTCACGGTCCTGTCTCACAGGAAAAACATGCTTGATGAAATTGGAACTTTATTTCCCCGTAGACAGCGCTGCATGGATCGTCCTTCCCTCCTTCATCATGTAAAGCTACCACCAGTAGCCCAAGCAGAAATGCTCCTGGAACATGAGTGTTTGTTCTTTCCATCCTTTTTATCTACAGCTCAGTTCTACCAGGGATTTCCTTGATGGCTATGGGGAACCAGGAAGCAAAGGTGGGGGGCATGATCTGGATGGTACTACTGTGTGCCAGGAATTATGGCGCTTGGATGTCACAGTAGTTCTGGAGGCTAAGGACTGTTATATAGGACTGCTTTAGAGATGGAAACATTGAAGGTATTCCTCATGATCAAAGGTGTTACCCTCTCACCACCATGGGCTGTGATGTTCTCACCTAAGAGGAGTTAAACCTTAAGAAGGAAGGGCTCCTCTCCCTTCTGATAGTGTCCTTCCAGCCCTTCCATTTACGATTTCTTGTTTTCCTTTTGTGTATGACTGGATATCTGAGGTGGGCAGTTCAGCTGTATTGGGGTGGCAGCATAAGTTAGTTTATTCCAATACCAGGCCAAGAACACAGCATTCAAAGTGAAGTTTCCCTAGGTTCCACATTTGGCTCACCCACTCCCTGAGTGAGGGTCACTTCTCCTTTTGAGTGCCTGCTTGATGCCAGCTCCATTCTTGATACAAGGCACAAAGAATGAATACAACAGAATTCCATGCACAAATGAGCTTTTGTTCTATTGGGCAAAGGTATGAACGAATAAATATGTCAGATGGTGGTAAGGGCCAATGAGGAAGAGCAAAGCAAGGAGAAAGAGTTAGATGCAGTTTGGCAAAGGGGCAGGGTTCAGAGATGGTGTCTCTTATAGGGTGACATTAGAAATAAGAATTAGCCCTGGGGCTGCAAAAGCATACTGTGGGGGCACCTGGGCAGCTCAGTTGGTTATGTGTCAGCTCAGGTCATGATCTCACAGTTTGTGAATTCAAGCCTTGCATCAGGCTCTGTGCTGACAGCATGGATCTTGCTTGGGATTCTCTCTCTTCCTCTCCCTCTCTGCCCCTCCCCTGCTCATTCTCTCTCTAGCTCTTGCTCTCTCTTTCTGTCTCAAAATAAACTTTTACAAAAAGCATTCTTTGGCTATTCCCCCCATGTTCCTTAAAATCACCCCTCAGTGGATTCATAGTAAAGCAAACTGCACACTGAGCACTCCTAGAAACCTCTAACTAGGCAGGGCAGATACCCAGACTTAGCTTTGGGGGGTGAGTCACTCCCTTGAAGTATTTAAAGGGCAGGCATTGCAGGAGGGACCTTGGGTCGATGTGCTCAACCCCGGAGGGGCTGAAAAGAGCAATGCTGGGGTGGATTACAGCAAGAGATTGTGGCTCGCTAGAAAGAAGACACCGCATAAAGGAATAAGTGCTCCCTGTACCAGAAGTCTAGTCTGGAGAGCTGTTGTAGCCCCAGCTCTCTGCCAGCCCTCGTACCACCCCAGCACTGCCCAGCCCCACCTCCCAGCCATCGTTTTCCTCATCTGTCAGCTGGAAACGTTAACGTTTTCTCCAGCTCTTACCTTCCGTACGTCTGTAAATGTGTAAGTGGCGCTCGAGAATGATGGGTGACAGAAGAGAGTAATTTCCTAGTGGTAGGTCCCCAAACAGAAACTGAACTACAGAGTGCAAGGGACAGTCATTCATTTACAAAAAGAAGTAAATTTTCATGACCTCCCTGCACTGTTTCAGGCTACATACCTGTCATGTATTTTCATTTAATTCTCTCAACCATGCGAGGACAACATTTACACTTGAGGAAGTGGAAGTGAGAATTAAGAATTTGTCCAAGATCACAGAGAGCCAGAAGCATAACCCAGCTATTCACAGGGCACAGAACATTTCCAGTGACCGCGCTGGGGATAACCAAACAGCCTCAGGGGGACGCCAGGTCGCCGTTCCTCATGGTCACCCCTGTTACTAACACCGCAGGTTCCCTCACTGAGGTTCTGGATGTGCTGTTCTGACTACAGCACAAATGACTTTTACCACCTGGAAACATGAAATCATTATTATTTTAGACTTTTCTACTCCTAAAAGCCCAGAACTAGAACTGCTGGTAGTTGGACTTAAACTTGCGTTTAATGCAAGCTAATAGTGATGAAGGGGCTAGAAGCTTCAAAACACCTAATGCAGGGCTAAGAACTCCCCCGCCTCAAGGGTAAATCCCTTGAAATGTACTTACCCTCTGAGTTGAACCCTAATGTGAAGCCCCTGCTTACCTGTCACTGGCCACCACAGAAGCTAATTTAAAAAGCAAGTGTCTTCACTCTTAACTTGCATCTTACCACTTTGGGAGAACTCTGGATAACACATTCATCTCAGAGTGATTTACGGAGTGCCTCTTCCCTCCAGGGACTATCCTGGGCACCAGAGATAGAGCAGTGAGCAGAGTAACCTCTGCCTTTTGTGATATTTACCTTCTCCTTGACTTATATACATACAAAAAGTTTGGAAAAGTGGGAAAACAGCTGTATTGATAAATGGAATGCATTTGGTAGCTCTTTCCTACCAAAAAGGGTAGAGGAAAAAGAAAACGTGTGGGGTTAAAATGGCAAACCATAAGCACATAACTATGATGATTGTGTTTTTTCTAAACAAAGATGAGACATGCAGCCTGGTAATGGATTTTATTTTCTTGTATTTTCTTTCTGATCTCTAAAATTGATTACTATGAAAACTTTTCCCAGAAGTATAAAAATAAAATCACATTTAGGAATATATTCTGTGACTCATCTTTACTTAAAAGATTAAAACAGGGGGCACCAGGTTGGCTCAGTTGGTTAAGTGCCTGACTTCATCTCAGGTCATGATCTCGCAGTTGGTGAGCTCTAGTCCCGCATCGGGCTCTCTGCTGACAGCTCAGAGCCTGGATCCTGTTGTGGACTCTGTGTCTCCTGCTCTCTCTGCCCTTCCTCAGCTTGTGCTCTGTCTCCCTTTCTTTCTCAAAAATAGATAAACATTAAAAAAATAAATTAAAAAGGATTAAAACCATATCCAATATGAAGCCCTGCAAAATATTATTAATAGCAGGATCATATTGTGTTTATCTAGGGGTTTTGAATTCTGAGCCAAATTCAAAGTACAGGCACAAAGTAGGCATCCTGTAGATTGTGGGTAGTCACGGGTTCAGGTGTGTGTTTTATCCAATGTTAGACACCGTATTAGGGTAAGTATTACCCTAAACTGTCAAGAAGAGTCAAACACATTGGGCGGGGAAGCATGGAAGAGGCGAAGGGAGAGGAGTGTGCATGATTGGTGGCATCAGTTGATGGTATCTGACATGCCTTTGGGAGGGAGGGAATCTTCAAATGAAAACACTCAAGTAAAAACAATGTCCTTCCTTTAAACAGGGCGTTGTTGCTGGCGCACGTTCCAAAGGAGAACACAAGCAGAAAATCTTTTTAACCATCTCCTTTGGAGGTATCAAAATCTTTGATGAGAAGACAGGGGTAAGTAAAAGAATCACATGGCATTGTGAAATTGAATCCATTGACAGATGTGCCCTTAAAAGCCTCTACTCTCTGGGCAGGAATATCAAACAAGCATAAAAACACATAAAGCGACTGACAAACTTGATCAACTGTGATCGTCCATCAAAGGGAGGCTCTTCCCTGACTTGGCCACAGTGTGACTGCACAGTGTTTCTTACGGTGTGATTGCAATAAAAGTGTCACACAGTCCTGGTAATCTAATGGGAGATTGATGGGCTCTGAAGAGGGGTGGGTAATGTGACAGTTTACGTTACACTTCTGTTTGTGTTGGCAACTTTAATGACATGCATCCTAGAGGGAGACCCATGAATGTCTTTCGACTTGGTCAAAGCATCCAGACTCTCCTGAGTTTAACCTGTGCCACCTTGCAATTGCTGTAATCAAAAAGAACAAATGAGGTCTCAATCTTAGACAAATCTGTCACTGTGTGACGAGGAAATGTAAGGGCTGATAGGTTTGTCTAACCTGTCAGAGAGGCGGTATGGTGTGTGTTTTCGTCGGCCCCCAGCGAGAGTCAGCTCCCTCATTCATCCGCAGCAGTAGAACAGACATGTGTACACCCATGTTCATAGCAGCATCATTCACAGCAGCCTAAAGGAGGAAGCCACCCCAGTGTCCATTAGCAGATGAATGGGCAAACAAGTTCGGTGCATGCATCCAGTGGAAGGCTGTCCCGCAGGAAGAAGGAAGCAAGTTCTGACTCCTGCCAGTCCATGAATGAAATTTGAAGACATTAAACAAAGGGAAATAAGCCTTAGTTATAGCAGGATCATATTGTGTTCATCTTGGGGTCTTGCATTCCGAGCCAAGTATCTAGGCAGAAAGTGGGCGTTTTCTCGAGGATACGACTTATTCGTTGACACATCCAGAGAAATGAAATTCATAGAGACAGAAAGGAGAATGGTGGTAGTTAGGGCATACAAAGAGGGCGGTACGTGATGAAGAGTTAGTGTTTAGCAAGTGCAGAGTTATAGTTTGGGAAGAAGAAAATGGTGCTCATGACGGATGGCCGGGGTGGCCCCACAGCAGTGTGAATGTACTTTACGCCACTGAACTGTACCCTGAGAAATGCTTATAATGGAAAATCTTTACTATAGAAAATAACTAGTGATACTAAGTCTTCTTTTTGGGTTGCCTACTGTATACTAAGCACATATCATCACCTTACATACATTATTCACATTTGCCATCATAGCAGTATTATGGGAAATTAATAGTAATAGCTACTTCACCAAGCACATAATATGTGCCAGACATTGTTGTAAAGCCTTTGTAAGTACCAATTCATTTAATCCTCACAGCAGCCCCGTGAGATAGAGAGTATTATTCCCTCTGTTTCATAGTTGAAGTTATTGAGGAGAGAAAAGTATTGAGTAATTTATTGACAGTAAGTATTGGTTGAGACAGGATTAGAACTCAGATAGTCTGGTGCATGAGTATTTTCACTTAACCTTGATGCCTGTTATCTCTCAGAATAAGTGACTTTCCAAGTTACCTACCATGTAGGAGGCAAAAGTGGGACTTAGCCTCCTGTTGGCCCCATTCAGTATCAGGGCAGTTGACCTCTGTATTAAAGAGAAAGGCAGGCTTACCTGGGGATGCCTTGGGAGAAGCGAGTTTAGAATGAGGGCACCAGCACCGTACTAAAGGAGCTTGAATGCAGCAAGATTAAGAGCCTAATGAAAACCTCTCCTGCCTTAAGAAGAGTATGGCTTCTGTAACCAGGGAAGTTTTTCCTTTTCCTGGGTAGACTATAATTTGGAGACCTGTGCTCAAGTATGAACCTCACCTTTGAAAAAGGACATAGGCAAGTCAAAGAGTGCAGGCAAGTAGGGAGTGAATTAAGCCAAACAGAAGGCAGGCAAGACAATTGGATGACTAGAAAATATGTTGAGCCAAGACTTCTCAACACAGGTGTGACTGCGTGGGATCCCACGTGACACACAAGAGTCAGAGAGCTGCAGGCTTGAAACTGGCAAGATGTCACTAATCCCTTAGCATCTTTATTGGAGGAAGACAAGTCATGTGGATCAAACCTAACCGAGAGATTTATATGTCCTAGTAGTACGTCATCATCTCTAGTCTTTTCCCAATATCTCATCTGCCTGCTACTATGACAGCTGGTATAACCAAAGGGGCAGGAGTGAGGCGTAGTATCAGATGTTTCATCTTGCCCAGGGGCCCTTTTCTGGGGTGTTGCTGCTCCACCATGTAAGCCACCATCACATAAGCTGTGCCCAGGTTGTTAAAATCCCTATCACTAAATTTTAACTAGTGAAGAGAGGTAGTTCATATTCTTGACCTAGATCTAAATCCTCAGTCACGGGTGGCTAAACTGGCCCCAAAGAAGGATACCACCAAACTCTCTAATGCTATTTTTGATTCTTCAGCTGGACACAAAAGAGGACAACAGTAAAATCATGATTTCAGCTCAAAGTCATTTGACTTTGTGGGAAAAATGTCAGATCCCTGTTGAAGAATCAGTGGGAAGGTGGAGCTAAATGTTTTGTCTGGCTTCCTTCACTCCAGCTCTGTTTGATTTACATTAGGCTCCCGTAGCATCTGGCTTCTGCAAGCTTCTTAATATACTCCACACAAGCCTAGAGAAAACTAGTAGAAAGGATTGAACATGTTAAAGCCTGAAGCACAGACAATAGGGAGCAGGACACCCCATATTAATAGCATTCATCTCTCCAAAGAGTTGTGCAATAGAAGAAGGAGCTGACTTGTTCTGTAGTACCCAGTAAATAGAACCAAGACCTACAGGGGTTTCAATGAAGCAGTTTTGTTTTCTGAGAAAGAGGAGTTTTCTACCAGTCAGTTACAGGCACCACGTTTTGTGCCGATGAGTTTACCATCACTTAGGGGGCATTCAAGCAACTACCATAAGATGGGGAAATCATCAAGTAGAGGACAAAGTGTTGAACAAAGTCACATCTAAATTGAATCCTAAGACTAGTTTTAAAATTTTGTTTCTTGGGGGCACTTGGGTGACTCAGTCAGTTGAGCATCTGACTCTTGATTTCGGTTCAGGTCACAATCCCAGGGTCCCAGGATCAAGCCCCTAAGCCCCATAGCCCATGCTCTGCATGGAGCCTGCTTATGATGTTCTCTCTCTCTCTCTCTCTCTCTCTCTCTCTGTCTCTTCCCCCCCCCTTTGCTCCTCTCCCCACTGGCACTTTCTCTCTCTCTCCTCTCTGAAAAAGAAGAAAGAAAAAAACTCTGTTTCTTCCTTAAAGTCATCCCTGTTGATGTGATTTATCTTCAGATAAGTGGAGGTTTTTCAAACTCCTTTGGAGATTATGAGCAGGAACGGTTTACTAAACCTTTGTTGTTGCCCAGCATGGGACCAACTGAATTGTGCAGGATAGGAGTTTAAGTGAAGTATTTTGTCCTACATATCAACGAAGTGAAAAACTGTTTTTTTTTGTCATTTGGAATGATAAATTTTAATTGTTTATCATATCTAAAGTATTCCTGCTCAAGCTTGACTGTGTTTTTTTTTTCAAACCAAAAAAAGAAACATTTGCAGAACGTGACAATAGCTAGAATTTTAAAATCCAGAAGCTGTCAAAAATGTTTTGATCCCAATTAAAGAGACCCTTTGCAGCAATTTACACCTTGTCTTGAATTTCAAAGGGTTCTTGATCCCAATCCTTACACAAGTACATTCTGTTTCATTATTAGCATGTTTCAGGGAATAAATCAATATTGAAAAGCTGTTCATATTTTCAGATATCTAGGTATTGATAATGTGTCAAAGAGATCAGTGAGAAAGCAGGAAATGTCATATATAATAAACTCATTGGTAATAGTAGACGCAGTAGCAAATCTGGAGTAGAAGTAGTTTCATATCAGGCTAATTAAGTCCTCAAATCAAACCAGTGGATACTGAGGCAAGAGTGATGTCACCTTCATTTCGCAGATAAGGAAACAGATTTGGGGAGTGTCTCTGACTTGACTGTAGACTCAGAACAAACCTTCCCGTTTCAAATCTTCTGTCTTTCCAGAGAAACTCATGGACTCTGTCTCCCAATTAACAGTTTTATTCCATAGAATTATGGTCATTTTATGCCATAAAAATTATAAATATTGCAGGACCCTGACAATACATCTGTTTTTCACGGCAGAGGACGGTCGCCTGCATCAGCTTTTCAAGATGATGTAACATCTTGTTCCCATACTCACTTGTTCAGTTGGTTTAGCCAGCCCTGATTTGGTTCTATTACATGTACCATTTGAGATATGTTACAGTAATTCTGTAAAGTAAGTGCCATTATCATTACCATTCTCCAGTTGAGAAAACTGAGATGCAAATGAAGTCACACAATCATTAAGTAGCAGAGCTGATATTCAAACCCAGGTGCTCTGGTCCAGAATCCTGGATGCTGGTGAGATAGCACTAACAATAACATACCTGCTTTGGGCGGTTACGACAAAAATACCATAGAGGAGGTGGCTTATAAACAGCAAACACTTATTTCTCCCAGTTCTGGAGTCTGAGAGGCCAATATCATGGCCCCAGCAAATTCAGTGTGGGGGGAGAGCCCATGTCCCCAGAGGTGGTGCCTTTTTCCTGCCTGTCCTCACATGACAGAAGAGGTCAGGATGTTTTCTAGAGCCTCTATTATCAGGACACTAATATCATTCATGAGGGCTCCACTCCCATGACCTCCTCACCTCCCAAAGGTCCTACCTCCTAACACCATCACATTGAGGGTTAGAATTTCAACCCATGAACAGGCATTCAGACCATAGCAACATCAAATTTTATAAATGGTGTTCTTTTACATATATTAGAGCAGGTTCAGTATTCTCCCTGTTTTATTGTCACCATTATTCATTTTGATTCTGATGACCTTTCCTGAGGGAAGGTCCAGGGAGTGCAGTTACAGCTGGAACGGTCTGCTGGATGGAATGTTGGCACTGTAACCAGGCTGCAGTTAGGCCCGAGCAGA